ATTTCGAACGCAGTACGGGTAGAAAAATTGTTGATAATGTGTGCATTACTCATCCGATTTTCAGTGTTTGCGATTACCAATAAGTTTGGTAGGTTTTTAAGGAACTTTCGTCATGAAAATAGTAACATTCATGCTACAACACATAGCAAAGAATATATACAACGCTGTTTGAATAGAAAATACCATGAAAAGAAGATAAAATACTGGTTTACATAAATCAAAAAGCGTATATTTCATACAAAATGTATGGGTGGTCTAGACAGACCTTTCCGACCGTTCGAAGTATAAAAAAGTGAATATCCTTATAATTATCCTTCTGTACAATTTTTCGTCCTGATTTTTTTATTGATCGACAGCTAATGAAATTTTTAAAAGTCAAGAAATTTCGAGTCGATAGGATTACTAGAAGTATTTTTTTTTTTTGTTAATTGAAGTCGAAAAAGTCTGGCCGGACCACGCCGACCGACGGAGGGTTAAACATCACTAGACATTAAAATGAATACATTGGCAAAAGAGTTGAAAAAATATTTTAAAATTACCATTTGATTAACTGATTTTTTATATATCTATTCAGGCTGGTCGATCAATACAGAGTTCAGACCTGAATCGGTGGTCGGAGCTGATTCAGGTCGAAGAAGCGAAGGAGACGACGAGGCGTGATCTGAGCCGCTTGGCATTCCTTCAATCTGAAAAAAATAAATTAAATAAAAAGTATAGGGAACTTGAATTGTGCATCAACTCCCTATACAGGCATTTAATTTATAAACGCATCAAGTAAGATATTTTGACATTTATGGGCCAATTCTTCTTGGATAACACAGCTAAGTTTTGTTTGTAGACTCCTGCTTTAACATATCATGTCTTAAATAAGCATATGTTCAGGATTATGTATTCTTGGAGCACGTCGTGTAGGAGGCACTCTTTTTTCGATTGAATTGAATGGAATGGGTCCTATTCAGTTTTTTCCTTTTCTTTTCATGATCGTTCTCAGTCGAGTCTTTTATGGACTTATTCTTTTCCAATCACCTGTCTCCTGCGCACCACATTTTAAAACTCTCCAAATAGTAATAGTAGGTAAATATTAATAGTAAAGAGCTATGCTCTGGACAAAACATTTTTTTATCAATATCATCCACAAGTCGAGACTTGGTTGGTTCTCACTAGTGTTCTCAACTTCGCAAACTCCACCTTGGCGCTTGCGATCTTTGTCCTGATCTTTCTCGTGCTCCAATTTTTGATTTTCTACTGTTATCTTCAGAGTATCATCTCGTTTTGATACTCTCATCACCAGGGCCGGATTTAGAAATTTGGCGCCCCGGGCAATGACAAAAATGCCGCTCCATCCCTAAAATTTTACGAATTTTGGAACTTTTTTTTAAAGCAATCGCGCTGCTTCAGCTACGAGGGAGAAAATATAGAAGCGCGTAAGCGCCGCGTTGCAGTCTAACGGATAAACAATGTTACAGAACTTACATAAATGTAAACAAAATTTATACTTATGATCACTTTTGTCCGCCAAATGTTTCTTTTTCAATTTTTTTTATTGGATCACAAAACCGCTAAACCTGCCCTCCACAAATTTAAGCAGTTATTTATTCTGTAATTTATTCTTGTTTGAATGTTATTGGATGCTTTTTTCTCAAAAACTGAATTATCAGTTTTGGCATTTTGGCCCGTATCTTCACAACAGTTGGACCTGCCTTGAGGTCTGTTTATCGATATGAATTGAATCATAAATCGGTTGATCCGTGCTCTCGAAATCGACTTAAATAATTAAACAATATTATATTTCTATTGATGGGGAAACGTGCTGATTAGCTTTTGGTACAGGCAATTACGTAAAATGGAAATTGAGTTTCGATATTTCTTCTCTTCTTTGCAAAAAGTTCATAATTTTCGAAAAATTTCAAAATACAAAAAAATGTGTTTTAGAAGTATTTTTTTTCATTTTTCAATAAATGTTGAAGCTCTTTATAAAATGTAATTTTTAGTAAGTGATGTTTCAATAATTTGTCTCAAGGCACAATGCCATGAGTCACTAGTTTAAATTTTTTTCGACGCTATGAGCTTGGAAGTGCACAAATACGCCATTTTAAGAGGGCTCGAGAACTGAAGAACATATTTTTCTTAAACTATCAGCTTGTTTACGGATCTTTATATTAGCCAAATTGCCAAATTTGATGACTTATTAACCAATTTGATAATTTGCGTTCGGAGAGGGAGGCAAGGCAAAATAATAAATTTTACTTATCGTTTATTTCAACCCAAATTTTGCATTGCAATCATATTATGTTTTGTTAATTATATTTCTTGAAATAAAAAATGTTGTTAAAAAGGTTGATCATATTGTATAGAATTTTTTCTCACTATCCAAATTTTGCCGCCCCCCAAAACTTGCCGCCCTGGGCAGTAGCCCCGATTGCCCCTACTGTAAATCCAACACTGCTCATCACTTCCAATTTGTTGATGTTGATTTCCGTTCCATATCTTCTACCCATTTCGACGATTCTGTCCATCATGTTTTGCAGCTCGGTTTGGTTTTCTGATATTACCACTAGATCAATCATTTTGCCATATAAAACAAAATGTCACCAGGAATAGCTGTTATACCTACCATAATTCCTTGAACCGCATAAGTTAAAGAATATTTTTTAAACATCAGTTTATTTACAGAGATATCGCACCTGTCACAAGACGTGTCAGCATACGAGAATTGGGCCGCTTGTTAAGAAAGCACCCAGGACTATTACACGAATCGACTTTGCGGCTTTTTGCATTTTTCCTCTATGACAAGGTATATATATATATATATATATATATATATATATATATATATATATATAATAATAAATGGTAGTCTTTCATCCATGCTTCCTGATCCTGCACTTCGGTTTTCAGTACCCTGTATTTTCTCTTTACCAATCCCTTCAGCCCTTCTATTTTACCATCCACGACGTCGTGCAGGAGGCACTCTTTAGAACAAAACGGGTCCAATCCAGTTTCCTTCCTTCTTCAAGATTCTTGAAAAGGCCGATCTTGAAATGTCAAGAGAACAGAAAAATCTCCTCAGGCAGTTACTAATAATGATTTTTTCTATATCTTCACAGGCTGCATCAGTACGGGCAAGCGTTTTAAAAGCCTTGCTCCCGTTGTATGAGGACGTAAAATTAGCCAACAAATTAAAATTGTTCAGTCACAAATACCAACAAAGAATTCTTAGATTATCTTGGGATAAGAGCGGATGCAATCAGGAGATTGCAATAAAGCTCGTCACAGCAGTGTTCAGGTGAGAGTTGAGAATAAAAATGTTCACTTAATAGACAAATGTATGAAACTTTTGATGGTGATAACCCAGTAAACACCCAACGGTAGTAGCAATCTTATATTACAGCTGTTCAAAAAATAATAGTATATTGCCAGCGATAAAGTAAAAAAAATACAAGCAATAAATGAATTGTATGTTAATTCTAATTGAAGAGTGAAGTTGCGAAAACAATATTTGTTTAGGCGTTGTTTGACATAATCCACTGCCTCAACAAATACTATAGAAGTTATTAATCTAATCTAATAATGAAAGTTCATTTCTAAATGATAATTACGGACAGATGATCATTTTCCAGAAATGATCTCAAGTTGCAATATTCGCAGCGAATCCGAATATGGTCGATAATTACAAGTACTGGACTCTACTTAATTGATATGCAGCTGCTCTCCTGGTCAATTAAATAAACAAAACGCTCTTGGTCCCCAGACAATTTGATTTTTTTTGGGTTTTTGGACGGTGTATGAACTCATGACCAATGGAATAGTTTTGTGGGAATCAGTTTGTCGCTTTTAGTACTACACATCTGTTTCCTTGATGTGATATTATAGCATGATAGTCGTCAAACGTTTAAGGCAATAATTTATAAGTCCAATTAGAAGTACAACATTAACTAAATCTAAACCGATCAAGTAAAAGTACCCTGCCCTGGTTTTAATGTCAGTACATGCAAATGGGTTAAACTATCCAGTTGTTTCTTCTTCTAGTGTGTTGATTATATGTTTAAACATTATTTTTTATTTCTAAATTTAATTACTTTTCATATTTACAGGTCCCAAGTATAAAACAAAACAAAATGAAAAAAGACAAATCAAATATGACCAAATATTAATGCCGGTGATGGCGACTCTGTTGGCTCGCTTTAAAAGCAATGTCAATTGTATTATCCATTTGATAAAAATTCCTCAATATTTTGACTTTGATAATACAATTGACATGGAAGATCTGGTTAGTATTTTAATATTTGTGCCTATGAATACCTATAAGGATTACTTGTCTTTGTGCTTGAATTGCCACCAGCAGGAGTATATATTTTAAGCAGAAATTTTAATTGCATATGGGAATGTTGATGCATCTTGCATTTGTTGTAGTTTTTCTAACTTTTTAATATATACTTACTAGTTTTAATCTAGTGTTTTATGTTTACAGCATTTAAGGAATTTATTGGGCGCTCTGCAAGCCATCGCCCAGGATTCTGCAGATGCGACAGTGCTGGACAACTGCAGCAATACTTTGCATTGCCTTTCTAGAAGGGCAAGAAGTATTGCTGCAGATTGCGATGCCGCCATTAAGACCATCGTAGACAAATGCGCATTCGTATATATGGAGCCAATTCTTACATGGCTAAGTATTGTGAATGGGGTACGAATTACATTTTTGTTATGTGTAGAAAGTTGTCAAACAATTCATCTCTTGATCAGAAATAATTTTTCTTTCTAGCAAATGGATCCAAAATATGCCAAGGAAGAAGATTTTCCTGAGATTTTAAATTCCCTAAAAAAAATCTACATTTTCCAATATTTATATAATGTAAATTATTTAAATATATGGGAAGATTTTTTAGGGAATTTAAAGTCTTCAGGAATGGCGTTATTGAAAGGAATCTCCCTATCGAAGTATGTTAATTAGATCAAAGATTAAACATAACTAATTTAACTAATTCATACTCCTATCAAAATATCTTTTAGGGATCGATATACTGCCTGCTTTCTTACGGCGCTTATTTATCTTGGGCATTGATCGAAGTGAAAAAAATCGATTTAAATAATATGGTCGTTAATGCTATCGGTTGTATGGAACAAGCCGATATGTTAAAGTTATAATTAAAAAATTACATTGAAATTTGCAAAGACATTGTACAAAATGTCTCTCATAACGATCTCCAACAAGCTGTAAGTTGATTTGAAAAATTCAAAATTTTAAAGTAATACTAATTGTAAGGCGAATTTCAATATTGTTTTAAACTATACATGAACTACTTGCCTACCTTTCCACCTGTCTCCAACTTCTTCAACCTTCTACTTGTGAACAGTTTTACCTTGCTGCCTGTTTACTGTCCAACCTGTTAACCTGTTAACCTGTCTACTTGTCCATCTGATTGCCTGTCTATGTATCCACCTGCTCACCTACAAGTCTACTTGAAAACCAATTTACCTCTATCAGTCTGTTCATCAATGGGAATCGAATGCTTTTTGAAAAATTCAAATCGAATAATCGGTGCTCCGGGGTTGTCCGCCAAAAATAGTATCCTTATTAAATTGTATTATCAATGAGGTTCATAAATAGTAGATTGGGCAATGATTTTTATTTTGTTCATAATTTTAACCATTTCTAGTAAAAATATTGATTGAAGTAACGCTTACTATGTCCAATCCAAGCCTAATCAAAAATGTATGGGAAAGCGTCATGTTAGGTTTGGACGACATGGCAAGCACTCGCGATTTTTGAACAATTACAACTATTTTGGTTTTATCGAAGTTGCTGAAATATTTTTTGTACTTTTAATAAATTAATTTCTAACGTTTTAGGCCTTGTTTGCAATATGTACATTAGCCGCAAATTTCAATGTAGAACTGGCCGACCATAAGAACCCGATTCTACACGACTTGGTTTTAAAACTAAGCTCGGATGACGTTATGTTAATCAATAAGTATGCAGAAGAATATGTTTTCTTAAAACATTGGACAGGTAATAATTAGAATAAAATTAATTTAAATATTTCTTATTGAAGTGGAGCTTCTAATGCAAGTGCCAACAAGAAATGTTGAATAGAAAGAGACACAGAGCGAAAATTGTCTGAAGATGGTATAGATTATATAAAAATTTTGTAAATTGTCTGAAGATTTGTAATATATTTCTTTACTGGGAAAGTTTTTGAACATATTTTAATAGTTGGTTGTTTGATATCTGCTGTGATGCATGTTGATACACTTTTAAGCTTCAATTATAAATTGAAATGCCAAATGGAATTTTTCACTCGAAGATGCATCTAATACAACTCAACAATCACATTTATGTTTAGATTTTTGTTTATATGCATAACACAGTTTGTGTAAAAGAAAAGTTAATATGACTTTACTAGAAGACTTTTGTAATTATGTTATCGTTATTAATTATCTCATTGTAGAAAGGCACGAAGAAGATGAGAGCCCAAAGAAAAATTTTATTAGAAGATTTTGTAATTAATTATGTTATTATCTTATTGCAGGAACACACGAAGAAGATCAAGTCCAAATAAAGAAACGTCGTGAAGTCTTGGAGCGTTTTTGCAAACTTATTGAATTTGGTATCATACCAGTTACCAGCGCGTCCTTTGTTTTGATGTATTATGTGAAGGTAAGGTTATAACAGTTATTCATTGCATATTGAAACTTCTTTCTATTTCACTTTGTAATTTACTGACTAGCTAACATCCTAATAATTGCCCATCGAAGTCTCCAAAATCTTTCTGAAAGAAAGGCTTAAAAATTCAAAAGAAAACTATTAAGGTCCAAGAGAATAAAGATCTTGCCATGTGAAGTATTCTATAGCTTTGCTATTCCCAAACCTGAAGGATTACCTTAGAATCCATAATTTGCCCTCAAAAACACCTGCATTTGACTTGACCATGGATTTAGTAGCTTTATGAACAAAACAGTGGATGTATTACGAGGACCTAGGATAATTAGTTAAAACAATGTAATACTATTAAATAGTAGTTTGCCTGAAGGCAGGTCCATGGCCTGAGAGCACCACAAATCAATGATTCCCCTTTCCTTCTTTTTGTTTATTATTCACATCACCGCTTTATGCATTTTCCTTACCATACTTATTAGTATATTGTGTATAAGTGTTGTGTGTAAGAAAATAGATCAATTTAATTCAACACTATTGTATTTTGCAGTGTGAAAAATGCTATGGAGATATCATAAAGAAAATGGTCGCCACGATGTGCAGCCTCAGCAGGACAAATTGCACCACGGTCATGTTCCTGACTTTGAAGGAAAATTATTTGCAGGTGGAAAGTTCATGTGCTGGCGATGTGGTTAATAAAACTATCGAAGGATTTGTGCAGCTAAAGGTATTTATTCTGTGTAATGTGTGTAATTTATGAAACGAACTAGTGGTGCATGGCATCGTGCCTTTAGGCAAATTGCTCGAACTTTCCGTACCGTAATGAAATATTCGAGAAATTTTAAACGTTTTCAAATATTTAATTATTACAAATACTGTAACTTTCATTATTTTTGCTATCTTGTTATATCTGAGCAGATCAAATGTAAATCATAAATCAATTTATCTCCAGAACATTAACAATCGTCATTTCATTTCGAATTCAATTTCAAAAAAATTGTTGCCTAATTGGCACAAAATTGAAAAAGTGCTCCCGTATAGTCACATTCTTCTGTGCATTTGCAAATAATTCTGTGCGACATTTTCACTTATACTGTGCTTAGTTTGGCGGCATTTTCACATTTTTCAATAGGTTTCGTTTTCACAACATTGGAAATGTGCTCCAATACATAAACAGTCTAAACGCACTTGTGTAAACATTTGTACCAGAGTGGCGCTTAGACTGTGCTTAGACTGGGTCATTTTTTCAATTTTTATAATCCAAAATTACAAAAATATTTTATGAAAAATAAAAAAAGATGTAATATTTGTTTATCTCCAAAAGCAATTGTTTTGTCAATACAAGCAGAAAGTTTTTTATATCATTCAAATCGGACGCTTCTTAGTTCACTCAAAAAATGCTATTTTTTGCACGTTTAGCTTTGTATCTCCGAAATGGCGGGACCTGTCTTTGCCAAAAACGAATCACCTCTTTTCCCAATCATTACAAATTGAATGTTTTTTAGATCATTCAAATCGGATACTCCGTTCTCTCAAAAACTCGATTTCTATTTTCTGCACTCTTTGCTCCGTATCTCCGTAACGGCTGGACCTGCCTTTGCCAAAAACTAATCAGCACATCTCCCTATTAATAGGGATCGAATGTTTTTAAACCATTCAAATCGGTTGATCCGTGCGCCCGAAAACGTGGACGAAATAATGCGTACATATAAAACACACACACACCTACACACACATCAAAATTTTCTGAGAAATGCCAAAATGTTCAGAAACCTTCAAAACCTCTAAAAATGCAAAAAAAATTATTTTCGATTTTTCAGAATTGAAGAACTTGATTTATATTCATATTTACTAATCTCTGGAAACATTTTTTTTTAATATTTATCTATGGTAACTCCAAACGTTTAACTTCTGGAGGTCCAATTAGAAGTATAATTTATTGTTTACTCCAATTCACTTTTTTTTTTTTAACTTCCCGTAGGGCAAGTTATAGTAATCGCAAAAAAATCTAAAATGAACATTTTTATATTCTTTACGTTGCAAAACCTTCTGAACATTTTGGCATACCTTAAAAAAATTAATGTATGTGTGTGTATGTATGTGTGTGTGTGCGTGTGTGCGTGTATGCGGATACAAATTTTCGTCGACGATTTCGGGAACACGGATGAAGCGATTTGAATAATTGAAAAAACATTCGATTCGTATTGATAAGGAGACGTGCGGATTAGTTTTTGGCGAAGGCAGGTCTAGCCGTTCCGAAAATATAGGGCAAAATGTTCCAAAAATGGTAACTCCGTTTTTAAGAGAACGGAGCGTCCAATGTTAACAATTCAAAAAACGTCTTACTTGTATTGATAAGATGAAGAACTGCAAGAATTTTCATGAAGGCAGGTCAAGCGGTTTCGGAGATCTAATGAAAAAAGTAAAAAAATGCCATTTGGCGGTCAAAAATGATCATGAGACATATGCACATCAAATTATCAGATATTTTATATAGATTTTAACAATAAGTTTAAATTTTGTTTGCATTCCTATGGGTTCCGTATCAATGTTTATCCGTTAGACGGCGGCGCGACGCTTACGCGCTTCGATATTTCGTATCTATGCAATTAAAGCAGTACGATTGCTTTGAAAAAAAGTTCAAAACTTCCAAAATATGTCAAAATAAAGAAAACATTTTTTTTTCAAAAAACAATTTTTTTAAAAAAAGTAATTCTCTGTCAAATTTATAGTTTCTCAAAAATCTAATTTTTTCGAAGTAATGTTTTTTTCAAAAATGTTAATCGTTTTTTAAATAAAAATAATTTTTAGTACGGGAAGTTCCAGCAATTTGCCTTAATGCACGATGCCATGCGCCCCACTTGTTGGTTTTTGTATTCGTAAATAGTACTTTGCCAATTTTTACCACCTTTCGCAAAACCTCACAGGTTGGAACCGACGTATTGATTTTATTTTATTCTTTTTGAAGTAAAACTTCTTTAGGCGCGACTAGGGTATAAATCCGTCGTTGTATGCGTACCGATATCAACAAGGAAATCGACATAGATAAATAAACATTTTAAAGTTACATCGTAGCACAAATCTTGATTTAATGAAAAATGCCAGTATCGGAAGAATATTTTACCTTGTTTTTTGAAAATATTAAAACAAATTATACATTTGTTTCTTGATAAGAAATTATTTCTATATTATTCGTAGTTTCTATAAATCTTTGTAGTTATTAAAATGGAAAATATTTTTAGGCAAGGCAGATATTACAACTGTTCAAAGAATAATAGTATATCGCCAGCAAAAAAGTAAAAAAATACAAGCCGTAAATGATTGTATGTTGATTTTAATTACATGAAGTTCTTCAAACACAATTATTAAATGATGAGTGAGTGAAGTTGCAAAAACAATATTTGTTTAGGCGTTGTTTAACAGAATCCACTGTGTGGACGATAATATCATAGAATTTATTAATCAGCAATTACTTCATTTCTCTAATGAAGAACCGACAAACCGATCATGTCATATTTGAAGTATGACTTGAATTACATTATCGTTTTCAAATATTATACATATTTTTAATGCCATTATAGATATATAGATGTATAATGGCCGACACTAATAAATGTGTGCATCACTAGTGTTACCATATTACTGATAAACATTATTCAAAATTGTTATACGATGTATTTATTTTTGCTTAAATGCCATCTTGTACAATAGCAAATAAGTTTTACTTCACTTTTTTTTATTTCACTTTTTTTTATTTCACTCAGACTTTGGCCGCACATCTAGCCAAGTTCTTGGGCACAAACAAACTGAAAAATCGACAAGCAGTAGCAAAGCTGCACGAGGCTGGGATTCTGTTTGCGGTTGAACAAAGTGGTAGCCCGAATGTGCCTCCACATCGCTTACCGTTTTTAGAAATATTAACCAAGTTTTCAGCAAAGCTTGAAGAAGAGGATAGATCTTCTGTGTGAGTAATAAATATTTACTGTAATACCTGGGTAAAATGTACATTTTAATAAGTGTGATCTCTGTATAGAAGAGGAGATCCCTTACATTTTTCGTTTTGTCTTAAGGGGGTATTCTACTGTAGAATTTTGAAAAAATCGATTTTTTTTTTCATATTTTCAAAGTTGAGTTATTCAAAAATATGTCATTAAAAGGATTTTTCAAAATTACTATTACAGTAGAACTTCAATTATCCGAATTAATGGGGACCGGGACCCATTCGGATAATCAAATATTCGGATAATCGGAGTTTTTTTTTTAAATTGCCATTGGAGAGAAAAAAAGTAACGTTTTGATATTGCACTATTTTTTTATTGAATTAAATGAAAGAAACATGACATTTTCACATGTTTTAAATATAAATAAAATGTACTTAAACGAGTTAAAAAAAAAATGTACAAGTTTAGAAATAAAAATCATTGTTTTGTAAACATCTCCGTCAAATCAAAACAAACAATGTGCCTACACTGGCTTTGCTGATGGAAGAATAATAGCGCACTTAAACTTTTTTTTGGACAATTTTTTTTTCTGAAAGTGATTCGGATAATCGGCGATTCGGATAGTCGGAGTTCGGATAATTGGAGTTCTACTGTATTTCCTGAGTTATAGCCGTTTTAGTGACGTGGCCTCGGTTCGGGTCCGACCGAGTCTCAAAACTTTGAACGCGTTTTTCTCGGAACTACTTTTTTCGAGCTGGCGGTAAGGATATCTCGAGTTCTAATGAACCAGATTTACTTCAAATCTGGAGAGGATCTTCTCTATGCATCGCTTTATCGCATAGACCTTTCCCAAAACTATAACTTTTCATTTAGTATTTTTAAAAAAATCGGAATTGTTAAAAAAAAAACATGAAAAAAAATTTTTTTTTTCAAACTGCCGCCATTCAAACAAAAATTTCTTTTTTAACTTATCCAAGGTTCATACGATAGCGGCATCTATAATAATTAATAATCCATCTATTTTTTATGTTTCGGATCACCAGGAGGGTTGGAATCATGCACGCCAGGACACCCTCTTTTTTTGAGCCCCCACTTCGACTGCTCATAACTTTGTAAATTCTAATTTTTTTTTTTATGTAATAATAAAATATCAATAAACAAATGATAAAAAAAATCGATAGTAAAAATATTGATTCCTTTATACAGCGCTTCAAAAACCGGGCAAAATTCATGCTTCTACAGTAGAATACCCCCTTAAAAAAGGTGATTTTTGGGAAATTATATTGAACAAAATGCTTCATCATTTCAAAATTTTAAGAACATATTTTACACATGTTTTAAGAATTCATAGTATACGTTTTGAAGAAAAAAATTAAATATTTTTTAAGTTATCGTCGATCTCCAACGGCGCGACAAAAGGCCCTTCACTGCTGCAGTGATTCCAGCCTTCTACATGAATGAAATTTAAAAAAAAATTCTCGTTAAACTAGATAATATTGTCTGTAAAATGACCTACCATAAAAAAATAATCAAAAATTGACAAAACGGCGGCGTTTTAAAAAAATAGTCGAATTTTACCCAAAATTTTGGTCGTTTTTGGACTGCCAAAATTCGATTTTTGATCCGATCATTTTACGGAGAGCTATATATAGAACATGTAAAAAAAATTCGATAGTGATCGGATCATTTGTTTTTGAGTAATAACTGCAGCAAATTCGGAAAATGCTGTCTCGAGAAAAAGCATTTAAAGATAAAACGATCTTTGTACTATATACTGTATATATATACTCTTTAAATGGCTATGACTCAAAAACTATTCAAGATATCGATTTAAAATTTTTGAATGGTATTTTTAAAGGCATAGCCTATCTAATTATGAAAAAATTGAAAATTCGATTTTTTAAAAATTTCACACTAGGTGTGCCCCTTAAGAAAAATTGCTAAAAGTGTGCAAATAATTGACTTGGTCAATGAATATTGAGATGCAGCAACTTTCAAAATGGTGGCAATAAATCCATACCAGTTATTTTCGACAAATAATAGTTCAAATTTTAAATAAATCACGTGTATTTGCCATGTCGTCCTTACCTAACACAACGCTTTCTCATACATTTTTACTTATTATTAGGCTTGGATATGCACGGTGAGCATCACTAACTAGGCCCAAGTGATATTTTTCCTTAAGCGAGTTGTGAAAAGATAAAAATTGAATTCTTCTATTATATTATCATCATCGTCCATTCTGGTTTCAGATTCAAGTACTTACAATCAAGGAGTGGAATACCTTCTAGAATACCCTCAGGAGCCATATGGGCTCCATATAGGAATTATATAAGGTCTCTTATCGGTTCCAAACCCCCCCTGCCCCTAAATACGGAGCAAAGGGCCAAGGAACCAAGCCAAAGGCCAAGACCTACAGGTATATGTTAACGTCAATATGTAAATTAATGTTTTGTATCATCTGCAATATATGTGGGTGGAATGATAAAGAATATAGTAAGTTTTTTCTTATTCCCGAAGGTGCAGCTGGTGAAACCTTTCCTTTTCCTACAACATCCATACAGAGGTCCGGGCATTCTATGGAGCGACCGCGAGGGGAAACAATTAGGAGATATCCAGGTATGTTTTAATATTAATTGAACATCAAAATGTTACGAAAACATTTCGATGGCTTTCTTACGCATCCTCGTAACTCGATTTTTGACGATTTTGAGTTTTAGTCGAAAAATCGCTGTGTGTGTGTGTTCTGTTCACATATTTGGGAGCACGGATCGATTTGATTTGAAATATTTAAAAAGCAATCGTTTACTATTGAGAAAACAGAGCATCCGATTTGAATTATTCAAAAACATTCAACATGTATTGATGATGCGGTGATTAGTTTTTGGAAAAGACAGGCCCAGTAGTTTCAAAACTTCCGATTCGAATGATTCAAAAAACATTTTGCAGTATGAAGAATCGATTAGTTTAGGAAAGCAAAAAATTTTTTGTCCATTTTTTTTTTTAATTTACCATTTTTTCACTGTTTAAATATGAAAAATGATTCGAATTTTAATTTGAATGCTAGCTAAAATTCTAAAACTCTCTTATATACTTCAAACAAATAAATTTAACTTTGCAAATTAGATTATATAATTCTTAGAGATATGAGATATGTTCTTTTTTACTTCTTTTTACTTTTTATATAAACATATATAAACGTCGTCGTCGAATTTATTCTTATATTTATAATACGAATAATGAATGTTACAGTATTTATAATAATAAGCTATTCGAAATCATCTATTATTCCTCGATTCGATTTAATTACGGAATGGGAAGTTTCGACAATTCGCTTAAAGGCACGATGCCATGCACCTCTAATTATATTATTATTATGTTGAAAACAAATATCACAGCAAGCAACAAAAATTAAACAATTATCTGGTCTGATCCTGATCACATCTCTATCTCACTATCACCAACTTTATCTAGAACATGTTTCATGTTGCGCACCCGAAAACCCAAACTTGGTTTAAATTGCTTACTTTCAGTATATTAGGGCAACTTTTATTCTCACTTTTCATACGGAATCCAATTCTGGGGTTTTTCATCCGAACTAATTAAAATATTTACGCTTCAGAAAAGAGCTATTCGAATCATTTTTTCCTTGTCCATATTTAAAAAACACAATATTCTAACTGTCCCATGCATTTATCTGCTGGTAACATTATCTTTCATCAAAAACAATTGGAAACTTTTTGATATGGCTTCGTCTTCCTCAAACTACAACACTAGACACAAACTTTCAATGCAATCGACGGTTTAGGTATTCAGCTTATGAATAAACTTCTACTTCTACTTCAATATCCGAAACTTAGACAGCAAAAAATTTGATGCTCTCTTAGTTAAACTTTTTAAAGGATTAGCTTTTTATGACACTGCTGAATTTTCTCAATTTGATTTCAATAACTATTTTCTTGCATAATCCTTATCATTTATCTATATAGTCTGACCATTCGATCGCCTGTACAACCATGTTTTTTTATTGCTATTTTATTAATTCAATTTTTACGGTTTTGAATGAGTATAACTTTCAACCTTGTGCAAGAATTTTGAGCTTGACTCCTGGTTAAATAGACTTTAATATGATGAACTTAATTATGAATCAGTTCTTTTTTTCAGAAGCGAAATTCGTGCAGCTATTATGATTATTAAAAAATTATTATCCTTTCAATATTAATTATTTTGACAATTAGCTGGACAAGAGTCTGAAATAATATCTATTATTATTAATTACGGCTTGCTTATGATTAAATAAATAAATAAACTAATAGGGTGTATGGCATCGTGCTTTAAGGCAAATTGCTAGAATTTCCCGTACCGTAACGAAATGTTCGAGGAATATTGAATGTTTTCAAATAGATTATTATAATAATTGAAACATTGTCTAATATTTATAAGAATTATATAAACTGAATTGCAAAGATGAAATTATTTGTTTAAAGTATATTAGAACTTTAGTCAGAATTAAAAATAAAATTTGAATTATTTTCCATATAGGGAAAAAATTTGAAACAATTTTTTTTTTCCAAAATCAATTATTTTGTTAAGACAAGCAGAAAGTTCTTTGAATCATTTAAATCGGACGCTTAGTTCTCTCAAAAACTGCCATTTTGTACACATTTAGCTCCGTATCTTCGAAATGGCTGGACGTGCCTTTCCCAAGAACTAATTAGCACATCTCCCTATTAATAGGAATCGAATGTTTTTTGAACCATTCAAATCGGTTGATCCGTGCGCCCGAAAAAATGCGGACACACATGCACACACATGCACACAAAACACACGCATCTGTACTCTGATTTTTTCTGAATTATGCCAAATGAAATGAAGATAATAATAATTACATTCTTGGTTCTGAAGGTACAACTGGTGAACGCCCCGCCACGCCAATGACAAGAACACCACAGAGATCCCCGGGCCGCGCCCCCATTAGGATTATAATAAGTATATTTTAATATTAATTGACTTATTGTGCAATAAATACGTTAATGTTAGTGTTAGTAAAGATAAAGATAATAACAATTATATTTTTGTTCTGAAGCTCCGGTCAGTAAACCCTCGGGGCCGCGATCGCCCCCAACACGTGGCAGAATATTAAGTGCTGGCCATCTTGGTATGTTTTAATATTAATTTGAAAGTTATTATCTAATACGTTCATGTTACATAACGTGTGTAAAGTAAGTGTGAAGATAAAGATAATTATAATTGCCTTGTTGGTCTAGAGCAGTGATTCCCAAACTTCTTTTACTTACTATCGCGTGGCCTGGCCTGGCCGATTTTTTATTATACGACGCGTTAGCTAATGTATTGCGTAATCATTAACTGGCTTGCTAATCTGTGTTATCACTAATAATAAGAATGATGATAGATTCTCAATTTTGATTTAAGTCAGCATTAAATTATGATTCAGGGCCGACAGTGACAAAGTCGGCATCTAAAGAAATTGAAATATTTTTTTTTAAAATGGGATTTGTAGTATTGTTAACTAATGTATTACAAAATTGTATATATATCATATATGTTTCGATAATTTTGACTAAAATATTATCTTTATATATTTCAGTGTCAATGTTAATTGTTTATTAATATATATGATTAATATTCTTTTTTACTTTTGTGCTGTTAGCGCCCCCTACACCGGTGTATCGGCGCAGCGCCTCTAAGGGTTCTTCGCCCAGAAGAAGACCAGAAAGGCCCAGTGAAGTTATGCAACCCAAAAGGAGACGTCTAGGTATGTTATAATGATAAGTGAACGTTAATACGTAATAAGAACGTTGATGTTACAAAACAACTATAATATCAGTGGGAAAACCTCAAGGCAAATTGCTGGAACTTTCCGTACCATTTTTTTTTTTAAAAAAAAGATTAACATTTTTGAAAATCATTTACTCTGAAAAAATTAGATTTTTGAGATACTATAAATTATAACATTTCAATAGTATTATATGTCACCTACGTTCTCTTAGCATCACCATCAATTTGGTACATTTCTATCTTTACCGAATTCCATTGTCTATTTCAAAGCCTTCACTGTAAAAGAAAATTGTATTTAATAACTTCATCATAATAATGATAAAAACGATATAAACTTTATTTTATTCAGAATGAAACATCCCATTTAATTGCTGAAGAGCTTTCCATTTATTTTGAGAGTCAACCAAGAATTGCAGCAGCAGCTTCGCAGCAGAGATAATGTGGCCTCCAAAACTCTGCCCTAGACAATGACACCTTCGAATTCATTTGTCCTCACTGAAATAAATGAATTATTTATTTCATTCAACATTTTCAAATTATTTTGTTAGAAATCAACATTTCAGTAAATGTCAATTTCAATAAATGAATTATTTATTCTCATTCAACATTTTCAAATTATTTTGTTGGAAATCAACATTTCAGTAATTAAATAAATTGAAGTTTTAAATAAAATTTATGTTTAAAATGAATGTAGAAATAAAAATTTTATGAATTAATTGTAATAACAATTATGGTATGTAAAATATTGCAATAAATATGAAAAATTACTTGTAATGTTTTTCCCTATAATTTGTTGCAAATTTTTATAATCAAGTATATAATTGTAACTATTTTATGATTACTAACCTGATTAAGCCCTTTGCAGAGCGCGATGATGTTGCAACTTTTTGTCTGAGCCCTTTTCATCTTTTAATCTTTACTGAATTCCATTGTTTACTTCAAAGCCTTCATTGAAAAAGAAAATTGTGTTTAATAACTTCATAATAATAAGAATGAAACGATGAAAATTTCATTTTATTTTGAATAAAATATTGAATTTATCTGTATCTACCTACAAGCACGAGAGCCTTCCATTTATTTTGATAGTCGACCAAGAATTGCTGCAGCAGCAGCAGCAGCAACCTATACCTCAGCTAATAATGTTTTTCCAATATTCTTTGTTTTGCATTGCCCTCATCCTCTGTAAAAAAAATTATTTATTACATTAATTATTCAAATTATATAAAAAATAACTGATAAAATGTCTAAATCATTTATATTACTTGATTACAATACTCGAGTAAATTAAATTTGTAATATAAATTTATCACTGATAAATTTTTTAAATATTATCAAGCAATTTATTTGTAACTTACCTATATTTGATTCCAAGTCTCTGATTAGGTGGTTGCCATTTACTAGTAATCCTAGGATTTGTCATCATGCATTCTCTAATTTGTCTGGATTTCTTCCAACAGTTCTCGCCTTGAAGTGTTCAGTTATGCCAATCCATCTGCACCAAAGGCAATTATTATTTGGTACGGGAAGTTCCAGCAATTTGCCTTAAGGCACGATGCCTTAATTGCCCTAAAAGACAAAATTACACTTACAGCTAGTTATGCTTTCTTCTTATTTGTGTATTTGCTCACCAAAGGCTAGATAAATTAAATAGAATTTTATTTATGTGGTAGGAAGCAACAGAAATAGGAATTCTATTCTTTAAAAACAAATGAACCGATTTAAAGGCAAATGAACTTTTGGTTCACACTATATGAAAATATCATTTTTCTTCTCAAATAGCAATCTCCTATATATATATATATATATATATATATATTTTGTAGAGTTTCGAACAAGAATCCAAAAATAATACAAAATAAAAAACAAGAAGTTTTTAATAAACAATTTCTTTATTTAATTATTTGTTAACTGTCAACGTTTCGGAACTAGGTACGTTCCATCTTCAGGACATCTGTCAAGAAACATGATCTTGATGAGATTTTAGCAAACAATATGTTTAGGAAAAGAAAATAGATTTTTCTTAAATAATAAATTAATTGCAAAAAATATATATATATATATAATAATGTACAGAAATATGATAATATGAACAAAATGAAAATGATAAAAATAAATGAGTGGATTATCAGAACAGGATATTAAAAGTCATATTGTCATATTGATAAATCATACAATACTGATGTATCTAGATCATACCCAACAGCTAAAGCGATATTAAGAGCACAAGCATAATGTCTTCCTCCTCATATCAGGCGTCATAGTAAAGTAATGATCTTTTGTTTTTTTATTAATTTGAAAAGGTTTTCAGCATAATATTCGGCATTGTGAGTGAATGGTTTTCGAGGTTATGTTCAAACATTTCAATTTGCCATTGAAATAGTGCATATGTTCATTAATTATTGCATTGAAAAGTATGCAAAAGTGATTAGGAAAGCCCTTAAACAATACCAAAACGATTAATATAGTGAATGTTGTGTTTTTGCGCCAAATTAGTCATTAGAATCCTTATGAGAATACTAGGGTCCGTTCCAGTCCGTTCGTATTCCAGTGCTTCACACTTTTTGCATCTATTTGGTGAATAACTGAATTAGTGATGAATATAAATAAATAAATGTGAATATAAAGTAATGTGAGTAATGATCTTTTGTTTTTTATTAATTTGAAAAGGTTTTCAGCATAATATTCGGCATTGTGAGTGAATGGTTTTCGAGGTTATGTTGAAACATTTCAATTTGCCATTGAAATAGTGAATATGTTCATTAATTATTCTCTATAGTCCTTTAAAAAGAATTTCCAATAAGTCGCCCAGCGTTCCAAGAATGTATCTTTGTATTTTTCAGGAAATTGTATGTTTGATATTCGGTTTTCTATTAGTGCATATTTGGTTTTGTATAATGTTGCCGATTTTGTAAAGAAACTAGTTACGTTTTTAAAGGAGTCATTAAATAACAAAAAATTACGATTGCCAGAACACCCATACACACTGAAGTTTGCTCCGGTGTTGACCATAACCTGTCAAAATTTCAGCAGTGTTGCTTTCTGCAAATGCACATGCATGCATGTTGCATGCCTTGTACAATCTGTTCTGTCACTTCTGTCACTTTTGTCTAATGTCTAAGCCGCCGTCTAACCTACAACAAGTATTCGTAAATGTAAAATTATTATTTCTGTGTTCAACAGATTCTGTATATAATTTCTTCGCGTGTTTCTTTTTATACCATAAAGTTTGGTTCTTCATCACGGATAATATTAATAAAATCAGTGCTAATATATATAAAAGGACGCCGATTTTTTCGCCGTGAAGAAAGTTGATAAAAAGTTTCAAAAATGGTTGAACCTTAAAACTATTCACGCTAAAAACAAGAATTGAATACGCTCAAGCTCAACAATAGAGCAGCAATACTTATTATTGGTGAATTGAGTGAATGCACGCAGATTTCATTTGAGAAGAAGTTAGGCGCACGAGGCTCCAGAGTTTGTCATCGCTGTTATTCGTGTTACTGGGGCTCATCTGAGAATTGGAGCACACCTGGCACAGAAGGCTATGTCGCACCTTATACAATAACAACACAAGACACTGTCATACAAGGGTTTGGAGCACCGGAGTGGCGTGAAAGCGGTATTTACGACAATTGTAACTTGTAAGGTAAGGTACGAATAGAATAAGTTAATTAATGTACATGTTATTTAGCATATGTCACGTTTAAATGCTCTTACGAATATTGGTACCCTATCACTGTCTAGGTCGGTAGATTCAAATCCAGCATTAGATGTAAAGTTACCAGAGATCACGTTACCCAAGTTCAACGGTGATTATAGTGAGTGGACCCAATTTATTAGATCTTTATAACTCGTTAATTCACAATAACACAAAGTTGCTGCAAGTCCAAAAGTTGCACTCTCTAAAGGGAGCTCTACTATCGTCTGCTGCAAAACTAATATCATCTTTAAGCTTAACAAATGAGATTTACACTGAGGACGGCCTATGAGCTACTGTGTAAGACTTATGACATTAAATTTTAAATACTGAATTCCCATTTGCAGCAGATCGACAACATACCACAGATACACAAAGGAACAGGCACAAAGTGCGAGGCAACAAATACGTGCTCTTTCAACTGAATATGAACCAACTAAACATTAGGATCTTATTCTGTTGTATATGCTAAACAAGAAGGTTGACAGCCATACTCGCATGGCATGGCATGGAATTTGTCCAGGAATGGAAAGTTCTTCTAACGGTAAATCAATTTTTTTCCTTTCTGGAGCTGCGGGTTTGTGCCTTAGAGAACTCATTCTAAAGAGAAATGAAGAGAAAGAGAAATTCTAAAATGGTTCATGTTAGTACAGTGAAAAGGGTAGTATCTCCGTGTTGTTGTTGTAAGGGAAGTCATCCATTGTACAAATGTTCCAAGTTTAAGGAGTTGGAGATTTCAGGGCGCAAGGATCTGGTGTTAAAGCATTCACTGTGCATTCGTTGTTTACTTCCTGGACATGATGCTAAGAGGCGTAGTTTTAAAGGTGCTTGCTATAGATGTAAAGAGCCCCACAACACTTTAATTCATGATGAAATAGTTCTTCGTCACCATCAACTAGCCAACTCAATTCTGGCAACAATATTCTTTTAGCTAGTCACAATAACATACAAACTTTTCTTTCCACAGTCTCTCGATATGAATGAATTTGATAGTTATATATCTATTATTAGTATTATACTATTTTGCAGATTTTACCTGAAGCCAAGTACATTGAATTGTTACTCATTTGTATTTAGAAGACTATTGGAATCCTGAGAAGCGTATCAGAAATTTGAAGTTAAGGTAATTATACTATTATTTTGTTGTATGGTTTCATTTGGTTGTAGTTAATAAAATCAAATAGATCTTAAAAATATTACACTTATTTCACAAATTTTGTAAATATGTATTATTTAAAGAAATTGGGATTGATTTGATTATTGTTTTACATTATATTTAGTACATTTATTCACTGAACAACCTGTGTCTCTTCAGCACATCAGGCTACTGGCAATTTATATGCATTTGGATTGAGTATTTGTGAATAAAAATTAATTTGATTTATTATAATATATTGATTTATAATAATAATTATTTCTTTCAGATGTTTGTCCAATTGGCGTCATGTTAATACTTTAAACCTCTTTGGAGTCTTGCAAACTTTACATTTTAGTACTGATATTTGTTCAAATTTCAATTGCTGTAGTGTTTATTAGAAAATAGTATTATTACAATGTCAAAGTTTTGTGTGTGAAGTGATTTTTGTGATACATTCCAAGGAGTTTTTATTATCGTAGTATGGATGCTGACTTCCAGCTAATCAAGAATGATTGTAAGCCGCTGTGGTAAGTGATATTTATTTAAATGGCATGCTCATATATAATACAATCACACCAAATTCGCGGAAATATGATTGATTTCAAGCAGTGAAGCCAATAACACATATTTATTTCAATTTAATCATGTTTACGCTATTGTCTTATAATGTTA